TATATATATATATATATATATATATATATATGCAGCAGTTTAAGTGAGGATATGGAAAATCAAGAGCCTCTATCGGCCTTAGCAAAATGCACTCCCAACCCTCTTCCCTTAACCTTGTAATGAAGGGAATATACTATTGGTAGATTCGCGATGACCTTGTGCAGGAGAGCTAGAAAGAGGTACTATGAAGTTAGCGTGTTAAAAGTATCTAAAGAAGTTTAAATCCCCAAATAAAAAGACAGTGAACGAGTCAAGCGATATGGAAGACCATAGCGTAATTGGATTGAAGAATAAATAGCAAAATTGTAAGAGATAAAATTATAAGACATTGCTAAAATGGAAAGAGTAAATTAAAAAAAGGGCTTTTGATATCCCAGTTAAAAGTTAACAAAAACGATGTTTCGTGTGCAGGACATCTTTTCACGTTAACATATTTAAAGCAAGTTCATAAAGGGGCATTTAGAATGGTGTCCTCGATTTAGAATAAGCAGACATCAAGTGCAATTCAAGACTTTTCCAACTCAAGGGCGAGACATTAATTCTCTTACCTCCAAAAACACCCTTTACTAGTTCAATTTTTATCTTCAACGAATTATTTTATGAAATGAATAGTCGTAGAAGTGCTTGCTGTAACGAAGAAACTGAGGTTAATTTATGACCTCATTATTATACAATTTAATTGTATATACTTAGAAACAAACAATCAGGCAAAAAAATCTGCTTCAGAGGTTGAAGAAAAAATAAAGCGACAAACAAGACAAGGATATTGCTAAGGAGGAATAGCAGATAAAGATTTAGTCGGTGAAGCGGAAATGACCTTTTAGAGCAGCGAAGAAAAAGTGCTCAAGACAAGCTGTCAGAGTGTGCTAAATGAATTAATAGTCACTAACATCTAAGTTCATAGGATAAAAGATACACTTGTGAGTTATATTAAAAAAGGAGTTTAGGAGCATGCTAGCATGATGAGGGCTCTTAATATTTAACAAAACGTGAGCCAGACAATAAGACAACGATAGAATCCGATGAACAACTAAGACAAATCATTTGCAGACCACATTTTAATAATAAGATGAATAAGTATTAACACTGAATACAAATAAAAAATCCGCAATCAAAAGAAGCTAACTAATCAAATAAAATGTGGAGTTCAAAATATATAATATGCCTGCTTAAATGGAATAGCAAAATAAACCTTAATTCAATCCCTGAAATAAGATAACGAAAATATGCATTTAATATTACAAAATTGAAAAAGAAAATAATTTAAGGAAATCCTAAATTCAAGGCAGCGAAGAAGGCTTCCAATTTCATTAAGCATAAATAAATAATCAGGATCAATACTCATACACAAATGGATGAATAACCAGAATAGAGAACACTTTTTACTATTGACAAAAACAACGAGATCAATTTGAGATCTGTGACTTGTAGAAGAAAAAAAAACATGACATTTTGGCAACTATGAGAAACAATATGTACGCACCATGTTGCAAATGTGCGCAAATGCATATTGAATATCATGTGCAAATTAGTACATCAATAAATATATCAAACAGCACTCGCGTTAAAGAAAGAACTTACAATGATAGCCCATGGACCGGGGAGGAAAGGCACAACATTAAAGAGGTAGCCAAAGAAAAAAAAGGTAGATATTATGAGAGAGAGTGAGAGGGTGAAATTTATCCATCCTCCAGAACCGCTATCGCGAAACAACCAATGAGAACCAACGCAGATGAAACAGATGATTGTTAGGATAATCTAAATTAAAATTTATAAGAAAATGCGAACAAAATACAATAAACAGAACTTCTAAGAAATAGCATTCTAGAAAATAGTTAAAAATTTCATACCTCGATAAGCTTAAATATTCCATGCTTGTCTCTAAGAAAAACTTGATTATACTTGAAACGATCTCTATTAGGATTTTCAGGTTCAACAGTAGATCGATAAGCCTGACGATCCATTTTCAAAAGTACCCAATAGGACCTTGAGAATATTAACCGGATTACAAATTTTGGTTAATTTAAACAAAAACTTAACTTTATTGGAATACTAGAAATACAATATTCATTATTTATTGTATATATGTATCTATATTAAAGCTCTTTTATGGAGTTAATATTTATTTTATAACGAGCAACTTAAAACCAATATTTATTTCTTCCGAAATTAATATGAATTTAATAAAATCTAGTTTAGTCTAATTCTTTGGTTAATTCTTCTTATTGTTTCATTATATTAAATGACCTTCCCACAATATGGTGGGTTAACCCGTCTTAAGGACTTTTTGCAGTAATGTTTGGAGTTAGCAATGTCACCAATAGAATGGATCCAAATAGTCTTAGATCTCGACTTTTCGTGGGGAATCTTAATACCATTTACATGCAGAAACATGAACTTGAGGCCATTTTTCAAAAGTATGGACAAGTCATAGGTATTTCAGTCCACAAGGGATACGCATTCGTTCAATATTCAAACGAACTGAGTGCTCGTGCAGCTTTAAATAATGAAGATGGAAAAGTTTACTTTAACATGGAGTTAGGTGTGTTAATTTTTTCTGCTTTCGTCATTTTAATCAATAATTATACCAAGATCTTTATTTTAGATGTGTCTTTTGTTAATGAATCGAAAAACCGCAAGCGTGGCCGCTCTTATGCAGGAGCTTTATTATGGTTTGTTCTATTCCCCGTTATTGTTTTATTTTCAAATAGTGATCAACCAAATTTGGCAGAGCTTTCTTTTCAAAATCAAGCTGCCTTAGCTGCTATCGGTGGCCAGTTTTCTCAGCTTGGTTTTCTCCCTCAGCTACAGAGTTCGCAACAAAATCGACACCTTGGTTTCAATATTCCTGGAATCATCGGATCTCCTCTGCTTGCTACTTGTACGTGCCATGAAACTGCACCATCTAATCACGTTGTTTCAACTTCACAGCATAAATGCCGTACTACCCTTGCGTCTCAATCAGTTGATACTGGCAAAAAAGCAAAAAGAACTCGGCTAGAAAATCCTGCATTGATGCTTTCCTTAAATAAATTATCATCTGCTGATGTTCCTCATCATGAATTCTCTTCGAAATCGCCAATATCCGTTGACTCGTCTTCTCCAAATCCCAAATCCAAACGCCTAATTATACCAAGATCTAATGATTCTTCCATTTCTGAAAAATTTTCGGATATGACTGTTAATAATGAGCGGCGTCTGCGGTCATGTGAGCGTTAATGCGATTTTTATTAATTTTTTTTGATCCATACATTACTTTCCCTTGGTTGCTTATGTGAATATTATTTGTTAGTTGTTAGGTCTGTTTTCCAATCTCGATTCATTTTATTTTTTTGTTCTGGCGCTAATAATTAAATTGGCACGTTTTTTTAAGTTTACCTCTACAATTTTAAGACGCCAGAAACGAGGAAGCTAAAGGATCTTACCGGGATAGATCCTTAAAATGTGTACACTCAATTTCTATGATATATTTTCTTATGTATAATTGAATTTTATTTTACTGTTTCAACATGATTTTCTCTCAGAACGCTTTTTTTCATGCCTTTTATTAACTTCTAGACTGGCTATAGTCAATATTCCGTTTTCGTATACCTCAGTTCTTATCCTTGTTCGTTTTAGTATCTTTAGCTGTAAACTGTCTCAGATATTTGCTCACAGCCGACAACGAAAAGTCTAGAATTGTAATCAGTTGGAAAAGCTGCTCCTGTGTGTTTCGTTTTGATTGCATTGCGATTTGATCGCAGTTCGTGAATTTCTGTGAGTACATTGCAGGGCAAATTTGTTCTATACTCCCATAGGCAAATTTCTAAAATCTGTAGAGGTGATTACTAAGTGAAAAACGTTGGATGAGTTTCGATGTACTACAGTCATTATTAATTTATTTATTTATTTCAAATGGCAGGCGTTTTGATAGCTATCATTGGCCCTTTAGTTGACTTCGGGGTTCACGAAGGGAAGGGTCATCAAAGTAGCAGAAAGCCGAGGAAGGGGAGCAGAAGAGCGATTCACAGATGTAAAAGAGGCAGACAGACACAAAGGTAGAGAAAAAGGCAGAATGAGTGCTGTGGAAGGGTTGAATATGATATGCAGTCGGGCTATGGTAGTTTGAAGTGAGAAGTCTACTGCCGGTTACTAGACATTTTTGCTGTATGAGTATACGTTGCCCAGGGTGCACCATGTGGAGGTAAGTCTATCGCACACCCCTGGAGTCATTATTAATAAATTAAATTAAATTAATAAATTTAACTTAGCAGTTTTCGGAAGGTGATTACTCACCAGCACATGAAATGTTTTTTCTTAAATCTGTCCCTTTTTTGCCCGTTAATTTTGAGCTAG